TATTAATAATATATATTTTACTTAACGCAATATGATTATAAACATGTTTTTGTACTCTGGATTTATGTTGAGAATCATTTGACAGAAATTCTAAAATTAAAACTGACAATGGATAATTAAAAGTCTCTATAAACAAGAATTGTCATTGCTTGTGTCATCCTCTTCAGGAGAATGGTTACTGTGTAGTAAAGAATTTGGCCTAACCCAAAGAGAGTTCTGGCCTAAGTCTTTGGGAGGTCCCAGTGATAGTAACGTTCATGGTTGGGCCCTTCAGACCACACTTGACAGTTAAAGCTAAGGAGATGACCTATGGTGAGCCAGCCTCTGGAGTCTGATGTCAGCTAGATCTCCAGAAGGGGCTGGGGCTGGAGAGAGTACAACCACATGGGCAAAGAATCCATCAACCATGCCAACTAGTAGAGCCTCAGTAAAAATCTGGACACTGAAGCTTGAGCTCACATTCAAGTGAGCTTCCCTGAATGGCAATACTTGGTGGGTATTGTTATATATCATAGCCAGGGGTAGATAACACCATCTATGACTACAGGGAAAAGACACTGGAAGCCTAGTTTGGACCTCTCCTAGTCTCTGCCTTGCCTGTCTCCTCCTTTGGCTGGTTTTAATTTGTATTTCATTTCCCTGTAATGAATGTGACTGTGAGTATAACAGCTTTCAGTTCTTACTGAGGATAGACTTGGGAGACCCCCGAACTTGCAATCATCCAGACACTTTCAACTACACTAGAAACTCAAATGTTTGGTAACTGAAGGCAATTTATTTCTTCCTTGCTATTTTCTTTTCTGGAGTATATAATCAATCCTGCCTTGAAGGAATTCTCTTTTTAAGAATAGTGAGAAAGAAAGACCAGTGTGATCACTAATGCTGGTCACTATCTGACTCTGTTGAAAGGCAGTAGTATCTGTAAAATTTAGATTATAAAATATATTTCATGGCACTGGGATTTGAGGATTGTGATATATTTTCAAGAAAAGAAATATTCTAATACAAAAAGAACATTAAAGGTTTTCAGTTAGTGCTTCTCATGAGAAATTACCAAAGAAAAATATATGTTTTTTAAATGCTGATATTTTAGTGGGGTTTTTATTGTTGTTGTTTTGTTTTGTTTTTTTGGGACAGGGTCTTGCTCTGTGGTCCAGCTAGAGTGCAGTGGCATCATCATAGCTCAATGCAACCTCAAACCACTGCAACCTCAAACTCCTGGGCTCAAAACAATCCTCCTGCCTCAGCCTCCTGAGTAGCTGAGACTACGGGTTTGTGCCACCATGCGCAGCTAATTTTTTTTTCCTATTTTTTGTAGAGACGGTCTCACTCTAGCTCCGGCTAGTCTCAAACTCCTAAGCTAGGCCTTAGTGATCTTTTAAAAGAAAACATTTTGTGTAAGGTTATTTCGGTAGTTGACACAGGAATAAAATCCTGTATATTGCTTATCACATTTGATCTCTATGCATTGAATTGATAGTCACAATTGAAGCAATTATTAATATATTCAAATTATGAAGAAAATATATACCAAATTACTATAATTACTTAACCCTGAGGCTAGCAAAGAGATATTTTATTTAAAACAAAAAAACTTTTAGGCTGTTATCATCATACAAGAAATTCTAACTAGTTTAAATAAACCCAGTCTTTCATGCAAGAGCATAGGATAGAGAAAAGGAAGAAAGATCACATGTGATTAACTTAACTAGAGAGGTAGGGAAAAGATCGGCAATTCATTTTTGATATATAAAGAGAAAAGACTAATTCATGGGTTAAGTCATGACACAGGTAAATAAGGAAACAAGAAAACATCTATATAGAGTTAAGAAAATAATCTATTTCAAAAAATCTATTAAATAGGTAATAACTGGATACCCCAAAAATGACAAGAGAAATTATCAATTAAAAAGCCATTTAACAAAAGACCATTTTATACATTCCTTTGAATTATGTCCATAAAAAATTTAAATATACAAATCACATTCCCAAACCAAAAAGAATCTTTTTAAAAGAATGAAATACAGACAGACAAATTCAGGATCCAAGTCATTTAAAAAATATTTTAAAAATCACAGTACATTGTATCTTGTAATAAGAAACAAAACAACAAAATGACAGTTTTACACAATTGTTAAAATTTCAAAAAGCTCAATGATGGAGCAATGGTGCCACCGTTTATTTAAATAAGTACTGTTTGTTCACTAATGCTTTTACAATATACCTATTTTAATTTTGTTAGATAAAGGATTTAAAGATCAAATCTTGAAACAACCAAAAAATAGAATTATAGTTATTCTTTAAACATTCTAATTTTGCCCATGTGTCTACAGTTGTGAATTACAGAAATATTCTCCCAGAAAAGTCAGGTATTTGGTAAAGCAAGGCACATAGGACCAGATTTTGATAAAGGTGCTTTTTGTTTGCTCCTTTGACTATTTTAAATATCCTGGAGATTCTACAGATGACTTTCAACATAGCACAAATAACTTTTATAAACCTTTTCTTACGAAAGGACACACTCATAGTAATTAAATATTATAACGGTGAATGTGTAAATGAGTGATGCTAAACCCTGTTTAAAAAAAAAGTCAGTTGAATGACTATGCAATGACATATTAAAAGTCCAATAATTTGATATGTGAGAATAGTCAATATTACAGTAAGTGTACAGGGCACAAAGTCAATTAGTTTCCTTTTAGATTCAATCTCCTTAGAATCTAGTTTAAATATCAAACTACCTTTCCTTCTATGAAATTCTGTGACATTCAATATAAATTGATGTAAACATTTAAGTTTTGCATCTCTAAACTATATATTCCACCATAAAAGTTACCTACAACTTCTCTAAAATCACTTATTAAAGAATTGATAATATTACTGTACTGAAACATCTACCTGTTGCATTTCTTTCCAAATATTATATTCTTAATTTTTAATAGAACTATCAATTGACACTCTTCTCCCATGAATTAACACATTTTCACACTGAACAAAGTAGTTGAGACATAATAAACTTTAAAAAGATAGGAATTTAAATAATCAAGGAGTCATCATTATAAAATCTTGATACAGTAAGGCCTTTGGAGGTCATGAAAACACACACCACACATGCAAGAAAATGGCATTATCTGTATATATGACATGATCTAGGACACAGATCTGCTTTTTTAAATATGATTATTTCTTTATCAATTAAAAATTAAACTACACAGACCAATCTCTAATAAACATTTTCAAACCCACTAGAAAAGAAAAATATAAATTATGCCTGTCTAATAAAAGTTTGCTTTGAAAACATATTGTAGACTGTTTTGTCCATTTTTACAATTCTTGATTATATTTTTATAACTTTTGTTAGGAATCTTGAAAATTTTGTTATTTTGAACACCTGAGAATATGTTATTACTATAATTAATATGTCTAATATCCAATAATTTACTTACAATTTTTTAAAATGTTAAAATAGGGGCAGACTAAACCTGAATTAACAATTGTGAACGTACACTGCATTAATACATAAGTACCCAATCGACACTTCAATGTGAGCTGAACATAAATTGTTATAGTCTTGAATTCCATGCATTTTCAGGATTTAGATTTCACTTAACAGTAGGTAATAAGATGTAAGTCTGAATATTGTTCCAAGTCTAAAAACACCACACTCAAAATGTGGTAAAGTTATTAAACAAATACTATAAAAGGTGGTTACTGAAAATTCTAAGTCAAGCATCCAGAAAGTTTGTTTGGAATCACCGGCAAATTGATTTTAAATATTTTGTAATTTTAAACCTTTTAAACTCTGGATGGAATTGATCAGGCCTACAATCTATAGACTATACTTGCAGTAGCATGGTAACACTGCCGCTTTACATTAGCCAAGAGGACCCAACAATTTGTAACATAGTATTTTTGAGCCAAATTCTGTTTAACAAAGTCCATTATAACTATATAAAAATATTTATTTTTTACAGTTTTTTAATCTATTAGAACAGAGTTTTAAAAATATATACAATATAAATGAAAAAATAAAATACTTCTTATACTCTATAAGCAATTCTGCCTATAGTCAATAGTTAAATTAAACCTATATTCCAATCATAGAAAGCATTTTTGCCCACCAAATCATCTTACCATTTCTAATATATTCTCTCTCTCCCTTGAACCAACTTATTAAATAACTCATGTAATTTGCATCCTCAGCTCCAGTGTTAATCAAAAAGGAAAAATCTCCACCTTTTTTAAGCAAAATGGTGGCTCCTTCCCAGCAGCTCTTGTGGGGACACAGAAAAGGAACTCAGAATTTGGCTAACTCTCTTAGTCATGAGATCAGAGTATTCCTGGAACAGTGGGTCTATGAGAAGCCTAAAAAGTTCATCTGAGCAGCCTTGAATTTAAAGTTATAGTGCTATTTAAAATAATGTAATATGGCAATCTGGAATGTCTCCAAGAAAAGTCAGTTTGGTCTCAGTCCACTGACATCTGTACTACTATTTGGTTATTGTTTTTATCAACAGTTACAGATTAAAGGAAGTTTTTACAGATCAATGAGTAAAATATTCATTTAAAAACTTTCTAGTCATATACAGTATATGCTTGATAGTTCAAAATTCTCCAAATGGAGATATTAGATAATAATTTATTTTAAATTATTAAATGACTATTTAATCCCTTTAAATTACTTTTAAAAGTTTAATGGCAATTAACACATACACAAATTTAATTTAAAGTAATATTGAGGATTTATCTGATTTATAGAAAAGAAATGCAATTATGAGATTGAGGCCAAAACTCCATTAATGTAAAAGTCACTGGCTACTATCTAGCATAGGAGCAACTGGATTGCTTTCAGCAGTCTTGAGACATTAAAAGATCTTAAAATGCATATGAAGAAATAGATGTGTATATCTCTACATCAAATTTAAATATGAGTTTTGTTCTTTGACAAATGAGACCCAGAATATTACTTTATTGATTTTTATGTAATTGAAAAAAAAACATTTAGCAATCCTTTGTTCAGTAAACTTTTGTATAAATATAAAAATCTCAGATATGTGAAAATGTTTTTTCAAATCATACTTCTATTTTTTCACAGATTTATAGGTAATTACCATTTAAAACTTTGAATATTCCATGTGATTTGATATATCTATACAGAAAAAGTAAGATAAAACATTTGATAAGATTAAATAGATCTATTTGCAAAAATTGATATCTGACATTTGTGTGCTCTTGCAAAGAGTGCATAGGACATTTCTGCAGCAATCAAAAAGGTAAAATCTTTTTAAACTCAGATTTCAAATTTACTGTAATATTCCTTCTAAGTCTAATCCCTGGAAATACTTTCAAGTTTTAATTTCTAGATGCCATGTGTTCTGTTACATATATACATATTTTAGCCTTAAACTTTTAAGTTTTAAACCATTTGAATAATATGATCAGATTCAGCACGATGATATCTTCACAGAATCTGTAGAAGTCCTCTGTGCAAGATTAATGTCGAGATTCCTAGTCACCATCGTGAAAAACCAGTAAAAGATAGTATACAACTATGCTTTAGTGGGATTTCCTGCAGGTTTGGGATCGTAACCATATAAGAAAGTGGCTGTTATTACAAGGATGGCTCCAAGGAAAAAGACACTAAATAAGATGAAGAAAACATAAAAAAGAGAAAATCAGATTAAAAGTAAAACAAGTTCCTTCTATTTCTTTACTATAAAAACAATCATAATTTGGGCAAAAATGTTCTAGTAATATGGCTAACAAATATTGAGTAGTTACTAAATCCCAAGTATTCAGCTAAGCCCTTTACATGTATTATCTCATTGAGTTCTGACAGCAATTCTGTGAAGCCGTACTAGTATTATCTTAATTTTTTACACATGAAGAAACAGGTTTAAAGAATTTAAGTAACTTGCCTAAATCCCATAACTTTAAGTGAAAAATAGGATTCAAATCCAGCATGTCTGACTCTAGAGTCTGCAATCTCATCCGTTACACTATATTGTCTCCCAAAACAAATGTTTTAAATGCTGTATTTCACCTTAATGTGCATTTTGCATACAATACACTCAATAATAAAGGTCTTAATTCTTTAAATATCTGAAAATATAAAAGGAAAATTTCATTCTTCCAGGTCAAGCCAAGGTAAAATCAGTTTAAAACCCAAGGTAATAAGCAAATCTCAGGACTGATTTTTACAGGATGCTTTACAAAAGGAAATTACATTAAATGAAGGAAATTCTTGGCTTCTTCTTTATTCTATCTATCTGTAGATATAATCTACGCTACTATAAACTGAAAATGAACTTAGACTGAATGTAAACCAGAATAGCAATCTTAATTTTTTAATATGTAGGTTTTTAAAAATATGTTACGGAGACATGAATTGGTCTTAGTTTTAAAGTTTCTACTAACAGCTCAAAGTCACTCTCCTGATTCAAAAAATTATTTTGTTCTATAAAGGAAAAAGATCACTAATTCTTACTATGACATAAAAGGCCTTTCATAATATGGTCCCTCTAACCTCATACCCGCATATTTGACCCCATCCAATCTATAATGCAGACACTCTACTCAGTGAACACAATATGCCCTTTCATGTCTGTCTTTATAGATACTATTTCCTCTATCTACAATTTCCTTTCTCCCAAGAAAATCTTTATTCATAACAATTCAGGTCTAATGTCTCCAAGATTCATTCCCCTAGGCAGTGTTACTCTATCATAACACTTACCACACTCTTAGTAAATAATGCGTTATTTACATGCCTGCTCCTCTGTTCAACCATGTACTCTTCATTCATTATTATACCCCCAGTACCTAGCATATATAGGGAGCTCAATAATTATCTGTTATGATTAATAACTAGTGTTGACTTGATGCAAATAATTAACTTTTCAAAAGCCTTGGATGCAGTTATAAGATTAAGATAACATAAAACTTCCTATAATGTATCTTGAAGATATTATTACCAGAGGATATTTGGTAATTATTTAGGCTTTGCATAAGCTTCTGATTAGATACTTTCTTCATCAGTCATTATGAACTTTTCTTTGCTTTCTGGAACTCAGGAACAGCACAGACTGAAAGTTCATGCTCAGCTGAAATGTTGTCTGATCCAACTTTCTACCCTCTGCAAGAATCCCTTCTAGGATATCTCTAACAGGATCTATTTGAATATCTAATAATGTCAGGAAATCCCTGCTTCTCAGGCCAGCAATTTTTAGATGGTTCAGAGGGAAAAAAATTTGTTAGACAAAAAACTATCAGAATTTAATGATTATTCCAAAGATCTGAGCTCCTCTAATGGAATTATATATATATTTCCATTGCTACATTGATCACACACTTATAATTTATTCAAGTGTCTCTCTCTCCAATCACTGTGACCTCCTTGAAGACAAGAAACTGTGTTTCATTCATGTACTTCTTTTTTCCCAGGATCTAGCGCAGTGACTGGCAGCACATAGTGGACACTTAAACTTTTGATAAAAGAATAAGCAAGGCCGGGCACAGTGGCTCACGCCTGTAATCCTAGTACTCTGGAAGGCCAAGGCGGGCGGATTGTTTGAGCTCAGGAGTTCAAAACCAGCCTGAGCAAGAGCGAGACCCCGTCTCTACTAAAAATAGAAAGAAATTAATTGGACAACTAAAAATATATAGAAAAAATTAGCTGGGCATGGTGGCTCAGGAGGCTGAGGCAGTAGGATCGCTTGAGCCCAGGAGTTTGAGGTTGCTGTGAGCTAGGCTGACGCCACGGCACTCACTCTAGCCCAGGCAACACAGTGAGACTCTGTCTCAAAAAAAAAAAAAAGAATAAGCAAGCCTAAACGGAAGGATGGTAATACAAGCAAAATAGTGAGCACAAGAAAAATAAATTAGGAAAGTGAATACTGGTGACATGATATCAATACAGATGTCTAGCAGTATGTAGAATACAGGGATCTAGAGAGCTTAGGTGAAATTGGGACTTATCTTCATAGAGAGAACAGATAAGACGGCAGAGGATGAGATGACCAAGGGAGTGAGCGACGGTTGACAAGCTACCAAAGGGATAATCAGAAAGATAGGTATAGGCATACCACTTCAGAGAAGCCAAAAAAAACTATTTCAAGAGGTGGAATGGGGATAACAAGGCAAATACATTATTACATTTGGAGTAGAGCTGAATGAAGATAGAGAAAAGGTCACTGGATTTATTGCTAAAATGGATTCTTCACAAAAGTTAGACTTCAAAAAGATAGAGGGCAAACTTATCTATTTTAGGAAAAATAATCCATCTTATTCATCTGGCTTGGTGTCCTGGGCATATTCTCAAAACATTCATTCATTCATTCATTCATTCCATAATAATGGTATCATTATCTTATCTTCAACCCATACCCTACACACTCCCTGAGCAACATGAATTTACATGCAGGTGTATATCTTATTAACAAACTACTACTCTTTTGTGCCTGTACTGGTTTACTTGTTCATTTACTTGTTTATTCCATGAATAATTCAAAAATTTAAAGTTAATTACCTCAATCTTATATGAGGTTTAATTTTTTTTTTAAAAAGTATGCCTTTTTAAGTATGCCCTAAAAATCTGCAAGTTCAAAACATTCTCAAATAACATTAAAGCACATGATTTCCTCATCTAATGAATAAGGAATAAAGCATCAAGACATAGGTGTTATAATCATTGTTAGGCTAGTCTCACAAGCTAAGTGATTCATTCCCACACCAAGCTGAAACCAGAAATACTTTAAAATTTTGTCTCATAAAAATTACAGATCTCAACATGCATGTCCCAGATGTATTGTGCAGTTTGCCAGAAAAGAATTAAAATCATAAATGTTCAATACAGAAATAGAAAAAGCATATATATTTTTACTGCCAAATTCCATCCATAATCCTATTTCACTAACTCTCAAAAACACAAATGAATTTTTACTAGCTGTGTTAAAATTTTAAGATCTTGAACATTCACTCAACAAACATACTGAGTACCCATTATGTGCCAAGCACCAGCCCTGCTTATTTACCAGATGGTGATAAGTCTTCTGAAGAAAGGAGGAAAGAGAAGGTTGAAATGGAGTGGGGGTGCTCCTTTATTTAGGGTGATCTCTTGGTAAAGTGATATTTGAGCCAAGACCTGAGGAAGTAAGGGGATATGCCATGGGAATACGTAGGAGATGAGTATTCCAAGAGATAAAAGGGCAAATCAAATAGGCCCCCACTTAGCAATGACAATTTTGAGATCAGAAGCAATAAGAAGGTTTCTGAGCAAAGTTACTACTGAAGTAATATGATTTACACTGAAAAAGAATCATTCTGGTTGCTGTATAGAGAAGACTAGGGGTACAGGGCAAGAAAAGAAGCAAGGAGACAAATCAGGAAACTAGTCCCTTAATCCAGGTAAGAATGAGGTGGCTTGGATCGGAGTGGTAGCAGTAGAGGTTGTGAGAAATGGTCAAATTCAGGAGATATTACAAAGGAAGAACTGACAGGTTGTCTCTAGATTATTAATAGAATGACATATGAGAGAAAGATAGAGAGAAGCTGATGATCTTACTTCTTACCTCACTCAGAAAATAAAGAACTTCCAAACACTTTAACCTTCTCTTACAAACCTATCTATATCCCTATCTGTATTGGGTTACTGTGGATAAACTGTATTCCTATCTAGACAGAGGAGGATTTTGGCCTGAGCAACTGTCAGAATGAAGGTGCTGCCATTTACTGAAATGAGAAAAATAACTAGGAATAGGCAATGAGTTACCTAGTAGACAGAGTGAAAATGTTGAATAGGCAACTAGATATACAAGCCTGGAATTCAAATTTAAGTAAGAATTGTTAGCATATAGATGATATTTAAAGCCATGAAAATAGAGATCACCTAAGAGAATGCGTGCAGATAAAAGATCTTTGGGAGGTTCTAAAATTTAGAGGTTAAAAAAATCAGGAGGGGAGTGAAGTTGGAGGAAGACCAAGAATGGTGTCCTGGAAGCAATTAAAATAATATAATCCCATTAGTCTGGGATTATAAATCAGTAATTGTGCCAAAAAAAAGACCCTTCAATACCACCTGTAATGGGTATTCATTACACTCCATTCCTCCTGTCTCTTTCTCCTCCCTTGGCATTGATAACAGTACGAGGTCCTGGGTCTCCTGTCTTACCTATCACTCCTTTTGCGCTTCCTTTCCAAACTGCTCTTCTTCCTCCTATCATCTAATTGAGTTTTTTCATGAACTACCTTCTCTAAATAAACTACCTTTTTCAAGAATGTCATCTACTATCCTGGCTTTAACTATGTAAATTCTGTATTAAAAATGTCATTATATGATTTATTTTATGATTTTATAGAATTTATTAACTTTTTATATTACTTTTAACTTTAGGGGAAAAACATTTAGTTCTATTGGAAAAATTCTGGCCAGCCAAATTTGTATTAAAAACTTTGCAGGGGAAGATTATCTTTCATGCATTTAGTGTGAATCTTTTTAAAAAGACAGTTAAGTGGATTTTTAAATTACATTTCAGTGATTCTTCAAAAGTTGTAATAGAACAAAATTTGTCACATCATCTTATGAAGAATTCTTATTTTTCTATTCTTATTTTCTCTTGAGTATTTAAAGAAATAGAAAAGAATATTTTACCTGGTTGGCACAAAATCTTGTAGCCAAAAATAGGATATCAGTGTTGATAATATTATGGATAAAGAGGTTGCAAATCCTTTTAAAATATTATCCGCATACTTAATAACAGCAGCTATTACAAGGCCTCCAAGTGCCTGCAGAAGTTTTAAAAGATTATTTTTAAAAACAAACATAAAATTGCTTTTCAAAACAATGTTACTATCAACGAAGCTTTAGATTGTTCTATAAATTCAATCTCATTATAATAAGTGATTTATATTAAACATCTCTTATAACCAATAGACTTCTAGGTTTTGTTCAACAGCCCTCCTTTTTTTCTCCTACGTGGTTATTTATCATGCCTATCAATAGCCCTCTTATTTCAAAGGGCATCTAATAAAGTAACTACTAGAACAATCTGCAGTTTATTGTAATGGAGTGTGATCATATTATAAATAAAACATCTATCTTCATCCAATTTAGAATTAAATATCACTTGTTTATACAAATATGGGAAAATTAGTCACTTGGAATAGTGAAATATTTTTACTTTGGAGTAAAAATAAAGTAACTCAAAAGTTATTTTACTAGCCTTTCAATATCCTCCTAACTTGGCTTTCTTTCTCTAGTTTCTCCCCAATTTAATCCATCTCTCACTGCTGTCAGATTACTCTTCCTAACACACAGTTTTAATCATGCTACTTTATGAGTGTAGAAGGAACTTTCTACCTAATCCCTTTCAAATTCCACATTGTGGCTACTCGAATAATGAGGTTTCACTATACTACATAGTTTTGCTTTCTGCCAAACACTATTTATGAGTTTCCAAATCTGGGTTACCTACCTGAACAACCTTCACTGTACCTCTTCTATGATGGAAGCTTTATTTAGAGAAAGTCATGAATTATGCCAATTGAGCCCACTATAAATTAATGTTTGGGTGCCAGTATATCTTGGCAATGTTGTCATTCATCTGTTTATTCTCTATGGACTTCCTCATACCAGTTACACGAAACCTTTTTTATTTTGCTCATGTCTTCAGTCCCTTCTTAAGGGAAAATGGCTTCCTCTCTTTGCTGGGATAAAATAGATTATACATAAACTCTCCTAACTTGCCTTACCTGCTCTTCGAATTTTCTCTCAAATATTTATTTTTTCAAATTTTCACTTATCCTTTTCTCTTTTCTCCTATCTTAAAATAGAACTATCTTTTGTGCTTTGAAAACACAACTATCCTTTGCCACCTTCACCTGTCCTCTGGAACCTGCTCCTTAGGCTTCAAGAATCTCTAGGAGAATAGAAAAAGGCTCTGAGGGCAGTTACTTGGATCTTCATTTTATATTCTCTAGAATACTCAAGTATTTTCTGAAGATGAAATTCATTACTCAACCCTTAACTTCAAGTTACATATAAACTGAAGTAATTTGACAGGAATAGTCCAAAACATAACTACAATATGAGGCTATCAACTGTCACAGAATTAAATATCTAAGACTGCTTGTTGGGTCTTAATGGCTGACTGTAGACTTTCTGTACAATGATAGGAGTTTAGAAAAATCAAAAGTTATATTTGCCTTCAGTTTCAACTATTTTATTCTTAAACTTGTATTTTTTTTATGTTCAACTTAAATACCACAAAGTCTATTAAGATTCCTTTCAAAATAAGTTTTCATTAGGGCATTAAGACCAGTTCGATTTTAACTTCCCTAAATAAACTAGATACAATGAGAACATTAACAGGAGGGATCTTTTCCCTCACATTAGTACCTACTTTGATTCTCTATATTAAAATAAAGTTTATTAGCACTAAATATAAGACTTTAAATGCTTTACCTGGAGAACAACTACTATCCAGGTCAGTTGGTTATATCCCTGAAAAAATCCATTCTTTGATACCAGTTCTCCATCATAAACGTATACACCCATTAATCCAAATATACTCCCAAAGAAACCTAAAAAAAAATGTAAAATCTACATCAGATGTCAGTTAGCTTGTTTGAAGAGATATTTTTCCATTGACATTCCAAATAATTTTATATATAACTTTTTGATAAAATTTGACTACTTTTTAAAATTATTACTTGATTTCTATAAACTTACCAATAAAAGTATATTTACTACTATATTATGACTATAAGACAAAGACATAATATAAAAAGACAAAGATATAGAAATAAAAAAGAACAGAGATTATCGACTTCGGAGCACTAAAAAATATAATGCATAAATTACATAATCCCAAGGCTCAAATATTTGTAAAATGCTCGATTTTGGCACATGGCATTATATCTTGTATCTTCCTATTGCTAGGTCCAGATTTTCATATATTTACATTCATACATGCAAATATAAAAGCTCAGGCATTTGACGCAGTATTTTTCCTTACTAAGAAGTTTTTAAAGTACCATAATATCCCAAAAATCAGGGCTAAGAAACAGTCATAGACAACATCAGATTCTGTGTTACCGAAATCTCAGTTAGGGAAAGTCAATTCAGTGAGAGCAGAAACTATGTCTTCACTGCTGAATCTCTCATCTCTACAACATGGACTATCACATGACTACTGGACCTAAGAGATATCTGGAAGTACTGGTAGGCTATAAATAAAGAAATGTGTACCTACAGGGTCCACCTCTTACGGGTAGTCTTTGAAATACATGCAGTCAAAGAATGCAGGGGTAAAGTGATTTAAAAAAAATAAAGCCATAACTAACCAAGGTATTCCATGATGGAAAGGAACTTCAGGACACGAATGCTCTAAAATTTCATTTATACCAGCTCTATCCTTAATCCTTTTGTAATTATATGCCAGATTAATGCTGGCATATAATTATAAAAACACTCCTGAGGATATTAAACTTTTTAATCTATAAAATACTTGATAATTACTTAAAAAGGTATATGGAAGGATACGTACATGTCATGTATGTCAGTATGAAAAGACCCACTGCATTGTAACAATGGCTTAATATTCCCTTGTACAAATGACAGTAATAGCAAATACATATGTAATATCCTGTGTCAGGAATTATTCCAAGTGCTTATGTATGTTAACTCACTACAACCCTATAAGGTAGATATATTTATGCCCATTTTATAGATGAAGAAACTGAAGCACAGAGAGGTTAAATAACTTGCCTGAACTCACACTATTGGTTAGTAATGGACTCAGGATTTGAAGCCAGGTGGTATGGCTCTGGAGTCCAAGATCTTAACCACCACACTGTTTAATTATATAGATAATTTATGTAGGCAGTCCTCTAAACGTTTTATATTTTCTACAACTGTAACCAATACAGAAATAATAACCATGGACATCTATCTTTGTGCTCTTGTAGGATAAGTTATTATTCACACCTGGAATTCTTACATCAAAGCCTACATTTATATAAATTTTGGTCAACACTCCCAAATTGGGATCCAACAAGGTTATATCAATCTATATTCCTAGCAACAATAGGTAATAGAGTTACTGTTTCTCCACTCTCTGGCTAAAATTGGATCTTATCAATTTGTTAATCTTTAGTAATTTGATGTTTGAAAAATATTACATTGTTTTAATTTATGTTCTTGTGATTTCAAGTTGTCTATCACTTATTTAAATATCCTTTCAAAACTTAAGTCAGCTTACCATTTTTTCTATGAGTATTCTGCCATGAGGTCACCAAAAAAGAAATCCATAAAGCACCGCAGAATCATGAATTCTGACTTGTCTTCCATTTTTATCTTATAATTCAAGAAAATTTTAGGTGACTCACATAAACCTTACATTTTTTTCTGATATTTGCATATTTATATAAATAGCTGACATTTATTAGTGTTTACTACAAGTAAGTCACCTTATTCTAAACATTTTAAATATATTAACCCCATTAATCTTTGTAGCAATATATAAGGTAGTACTATAATTAAGTAAATTTTATACATAAGGAAAGTAAAGCAAAGAGAGATTAAGTAACTTCCCTAAGGTCACATAAGTGATAAATGATGAAATCAGGATTTGAGTAGTCTGACTTCAAAACCAAATATTCTTAACTAGTCTGCTATAGATAACACTCTTTCTGAAATGGTGAATTAAACTGCTTAATATTTTTCAAGCCTGTGAACTTGCCTTCCACACAAACTAAAGAAGCTAATTAAATTTTGCTTTAAAAATATTTACACTGAATGTTCTTAAGAAAAAAAAACTTGATACATTTCTATAAATTTTGCAGAAAAACTTAAATAAATCCTATATGATAAAATGAAGGTTCAGTTTGTTATCACATTACTTGAAAGCAGCTGGAAGGATGGACTTTAATCAAATTTGGAAGATCTGACTTAAAATACAGGCCAATAGGAATACAGACAATGTACTGTGTATGGCCTGGAGGGCCCTGTATGACTGCTGGTCAAGAAAGACATGGTATACTGGAGCCACACTGCCTGGATTCAAATCCTGAATCTATTACTAGTCAGTAGTGTGAGCTTGGACAAGTTATTTAACCTCTCTGCGCTTCAGTTTCCTCATCTATAAAATGGTATATAAAAGTTAACATGGACAGAAAAAAAAACACAATGGTTTCAAAGGCAGACCCCAAAGTCACCAGGACAGAGGCTTAAAATAGAATGTGTTGATTTGCAAATGAGCTGCTTCTCACATGTGCAGTTCTTTTGTTTTTGTTTTTATTTTTTGTAGAGACAAGGTCTCGAGGTCTTTCCTATGTTGCCCAGGCTGGTCTCAGCCTCCTGGGCTCAAGATATCCTCCTGTCTCAGCCTCCTGAATAGTTTGGACTGCAGGTATACACCACCACATCTGGCTAATTTTTCTATTTTTTGTAGAGATAGGGTCTCGCTATATTGCCCAGGCTGGTCTCAAATTCCTGGCCTCAAGCAATCCTCCTACCTTAGTTTCCTAAAGTGCTAGGATTACAGGCCTGAGCCACCATACCCAACACATGGGCAGTTCTATGTAGCATCATCAGAAGTGCACACATGCCGGGAATACTAAATGATGGAATCTTTGTATGAGAATTTAAATATTACAATAGTACAAATAGTTTAAGTATTTGTTCAAAGGCTATACTTCAATATATGGGACATTTTTTTCTTTTAAACTATTTATTTTTGGTCAGAAAAATGCTGAGTCTTTAGGAGTTAAAACATAACATTTTGAAATAAAAAGGCATATAAGATTTTAAAACAGAGGCAAAAAGTTCATCATTTCAAACTTCTTCCATCTAAGTACCTTATTCCCCTTTTCTGGGAGTAAAATATGTAAGTTATTTGCAACACCTTCTGGGAAAGAAGAGGCAATGAAGAATAAAGTCACTAAGGCTCCAAATGGTGAGGACAGAAGGTGAGGCTACACCCTATTGCCAGAGACCTAAAATTTCAAATTCTTGAATAAAAGGCATTCATTTAAAATACAATTTTTTTAAAAGACAAAAATATTGCCAGATATTTGGAGCAACAGATTTATGCAAGGCTTATTTATGTAAAGACATATGGAAATCTTTAAATTAACAATATAATCACTTTTAAAAATATATTAGAAAGCATTTAAAACTTACCAAGCTGAATGTTTCTTATCCACACTGATTGTTTTGTTTCTTTTAAGATTTTCTCAAAGTAAACTCCAGCAAAGCCACTTGAAAAACATGCTGTGAGAACTGCCATGAGTCCTACAAATTGAGAGCCAGCTGAAAGTTCCTTAGAATCAAGCTCTTGAGAATCTGAGGGCCACTAAATAAAAAGAAAACTGAAGTTGAATTCCTATCATACTTTACAAACTGCATATTAAGAGCCTACTCTTAGACTTTAAAATGAAAAGGTGACCAATATCATTCCTGGGAATTGCAGAGGGAGCTTCTGAAAGAAAAACCTTACAATCATTTCGCTTTTTTCCTCCACAGTGATAATATATTACTATTACAATTTATAATTTTTAAGAAACCCTTAGAAACAACAAATATTTTACATTTCATTTCTTACAGAAACCAATCTATTACATTGATATAATTCTTTAAAGTTTAATTTATTAAAAAGCACCATTTCAAATATAGGTAGATGAAAGACTAAAAATCTTACATTCCCTTGGCTGCCTCAGCAAAAGCTGGCGCAACTGGAAAGAAATGTGCTAAATTAAGCATAATAAAGAGAAGCTGTTGGGAGGTGAACCCCAAACACTGTCAGGGAAAGACAGCCCATCAGAAAATGATGGAAAACTCTGAGTACACTAGAAAGGAAATGTGTTGGAAGGGACTTGAGTCATCATACCAGGCATGGTACCTTTTGTGTTAGATGATAATGACCTTTAATCTAATCAATTGATAGCCTATACTTAGCTCAATTTTCTTTCACATCTATTTCCTTACTCCTCTGCTTGATCTCCTACTACCTGAACTTCTTAAAGCTACTTTTCCTTCTGAAACTGTACTTTTCATGGCTACCAAAGACTTTTCAATCAATGTGTTAAATAGCTTTTAATAACAAAATTGTCCACTCCCTATTCAGGTTGCCTTCACTGTACCACTGACACTACTGACTACTCATTCCTTGCCTCTTGGAACTACCTACTCTTTTCCTTGGTCCTCTTCTCCCAATCTTTATACCTGCACTACTCAGCAGACTTCCTCTGATGATGGAAATGTTCTATATCTTTGCTATCCAATAGGGAGGCCGCTATTCATATGTGGCTATTGAGCACTTGAAATGTAGGAAGTGTGACTAAGAAACTGAAATTTTAGTTTTATTTAATTTTAATTAATTAAATTTAAATAGCCACACTTGACTTGTGGTTACCCTATTGGACAGCATAACTACAACATAGTTACACCAAACCCCTCTAGCCTGGAGAGGTGATTCACAGAAGCACTGACATCTCTTCTGAGCTCAAGTCCAAGGTTTCTATTGCTGCTATTCAGAAGCTTGTTATCTCCTTTAAACTAATGCTTCCAAAATTTATTCATCCCTCTCCAAAACAAACATAGCTTTTGATGCCTTTATTTCTATTAAAAATCGCCATTCAAACATAAATTTCCTTGATCTCCATTCCTTATGATATTTATTAGTCTCAAACTCATACTGATTCTTCCCTTGTAACAACTCTTATATCGGTACTCTGAGATATTCCAACCCTACTAACTGGCCAGTTTAGGTCCCCATCATGTTCTCCATTCCTTCCGTTTTTCTCCCCACCAATCTGCCTTGCACACCAACAGGATTCCTCTGATATGCCTCTCTCCCTTCCAAATCTCCAGTGAGGCCTTAAAGCCAAAAGCTATCAAGTCTAAGCTCCTACCTCAATACTGAAGACCACATACAAACTGGTACCAATTTGTATTTTCTAATTTCATCTTTTACCACATCTTTTGTCAATCTTTTGTTCCAATCAAAGTTTATTACCATTTCTTAACTTATCTTGTGCTTATCCACAGCTACACACCTATATATGTTTTTTAACCATCCTTTTTCTGTAATGCTTTTTCTGGTGCTTCAGACCTTCTGAAAGACAATAGTGAAAAAAGTTTTAAAGAGTTTTGATTCTGGCTCTGCCACTACTAGATCTGTGATCTTAAGCAACTTAGTTAACCTCTCTGAGTTTTAATTCTTCTTCTGTAAGTTGGGAAGAATAGTAACTACCTTAAACAGGTATTACATGAGATAATACAGGATAAGCACCGAGTGGTGTGCCTGGCATATAAGTATTTAATAAGTATTCAACATGCAGATTTCATGATAACTATTATCTTTCAAAACCTAATTTAAATCCAACCTCCTCCCTGAAGGTTTCCCAAAAGTGATCTGTACTTACAGTGTATAAAATCAGTTGACAACTAATCATGTAAAAACAAATGTCCTTTGTTTTTCCTGATCTTAAACTATGTTTAAATTTTGCTGATTAGGCACTAGAAATGGAAGGAGCAGTGAAATACAGCTGATGCCTTCTATGAACTCAAGTTGTAGGGATGAAACAGACATATAAACAAGCATTTAAGTGTAAGTAACCTGGGGCCAGGTGCGGTGGCTCACGCCTGTAATCCTTAGCACTCTGGGGGCTGAGGTGGGAGAACTGATTGAGCCCAGGTGTTTGGGGTTGCAGTGAGCTATGATGCCACTGCATTCTACCCAGGGCAACAGAGCAAGACTCTGTCTCAAAAACACACCCCCCCCAAATATATATATAAGGTAACTCAGAAAAGATATGTACAAAGTACTATGGTAGCACAGAAGAAGGGATAATACTATGGCCTGCAATGTTAGGAAGGTATTTTGGTAGAGGTAACACCTCAATTGAGTCTTAAAAAATGAATAGGAGTTAGCCAGGGAGAAGTCATTGTAGGTATAAGAGGATGCGTAAACACAAAGATGGGTAAAATAACCTCTACAAGCAGTTTAGTTTTAGAAATTCAGATTTTGAAGTGTGGAGCAGCAGAAATGAGCCTGGAGCTGTAGGTGCATTACGAAGGGTCAATGTGTTATACTAACCATTCTGGGCTTTATCCTGTAGGTCATTGTTCCTTTCTTTTTTTTGAGACAGAGTTTCACTGTGTTGCCCAGGCTAGAGTGCCATGGCATCAGCCTAACTCACAGCAACCTCAAATTCCTGGGCTCAAGCGATCCTCCTGCCTCGGCCTCCCAAGTAGCTGGGATTACAGGCACGAGCCCCCACGCCTGGCTAATTTTTTATTTCTATTATTAGTTGCCCAGCTAATTTTTTTCTATTTTTAGTAGAGATGGGGTCTCGCTCTTGCTCAGGCTGATCTCAAACTCCTGAGCTCAAGCAATCCACCTGACTCAGCCTCCCAGAGTGCTAGGATTATGGGCATGAGCCACCGCACCTGGCCCATTGTTCCTAAAGCTTCAGTTATTTGCTGTGATTTTCATGGCTTTGTCAAACCTATGTTCCACCTTAACTATTAATTACTTGATATTTTAATTTAAGATACCTCACTTTTTGAAATAATACCTACTTTAGCTTATCCTAAGCAATATTTATAAAAATGAGTTTGATATGCCATTTATACTATTATAATACCCATTTAAAATAAATATTAATTCAAGATATACATACCACACTCCAGGGGAAGTGATGGGGCCTTCTGAATGGCAGGAATGTGATATGATTGGATTTGTTTTTAGACAGACCACAGTGGTAACTAAGTGGAGGCTGGATTTGGGGGGATGGGTAAAACTGGAGTAGAAATAATGTCGGGAGGAAAAGAAAACATGACAAACAAGGAGGGATGAACTAGGGAAGTGATAGTAGAGAGACAGACAAGGACAAAATCAGGAAGTTTTAGAAGGCAGGATCAGTAAGGATTTAGTTATTGATTGGATATACAGTAGAAGAAAGAATCTAGGACAGCTCCCAGGTTGAGTAAATAATGATTGAAAAATAGAAACAAGAATAGGTTTTTCAGGGAAGAGATAAAGTTTAATTTTAGATATGCTGAGTTTATAAGGCCTATTGAACAACCAAGTGAAGATATCCAAGAGACTTTTAGATACACAATCTGGAAGTAGAAGTGATAAGCAGAGCTGGTGACACAAACTGAGGAATTGTCAGCATACGTGTTAATAAAAACCTCCAAAATGTATGAAATCTCCAAAAATAAGGACACAAATTAGAAAAAAAAATAACAGGCCTACAAGCAACCACAATATCTAAGGGAGTATCAGGGAAAATGAGCCCAAGAGGGAAACCAATAAGGAATCACTAGAAAGATATAAGAACCAGGAAAGAATGGTATCAGTATAGCTGACAGACAATAAAATACTAATAATTTCAATTGCTACAGATATCCAATAAAATCAGCTTTGTTTAGTATGCAGTGTCTTATTTCCCTAACTAGATTGTTCATGTCTTTAGGTAATATCATTTTATTTTTATTAATTTCTTTGTGACACTTACAGTTCCAATGTAGTATCTCACACAAAGGAAACCCCTAAAATATATCTGTCAGTTGTAAGGAATAAGCATTTATTTGCTTCAATCAATAATAGGTTTTGCATGCAAAATAAATAAGGTTTTGAAACTGTGATAAAAAATGAAAGATATACTCATCTTGAATAGTTACCTGTACAAAAGCAACTCCAGTCATCAAAATTACTAGGGAGAGCCACTGGTACACACCTAATTTTTTACCAAGCATAGACACAGAAAATAATGCTGTTGTAAGAATTTTCAACTGATACGTGACCTGAAAAAGAAAACAGCAATATTATTGTTTATATGTTTTTTAATTTTTAGTTATTATGGGTACATATTAGTTGTATATCTTTATAGGATACATGAGATGTTTCGATATAAGGCATACAACGTGAATTAATCATATCAAGGTAATTAGAATATCCATCACCTCATGCATTTAACATTTCTTTGCATTAGGAACATTCCAATTCCACTCTTCCTCTCTTTTCGTTATTTTAAAGTACACCCTAACTTGTTGATTATAACCGTTTTGTTGTGCTATCAAATATTGTTCTTTTTACCTAACTGTATTTTTGCACCCATTAACCATCCCCACTTTATTTCCCAGCCTCTGGTAACCATCCCTCTACGCTCTGTCTCCATGGGGATTTATCTTTCTGTGCTTGGCTTATTTCATTTAACATGATGTTCTCCAGTTTCATTCATGTTGTTTTAAATGGCAGGATTTCATTCTTTTTGTGGCTATATAATATTCCATTATGTACATGTACCACAATTTCCTTATCCATTCATCCAATCAACTTAGGTTGATTCCATATCTTGTCTGTTGTGAATAGTGCTGCAATATGTTTGTACGTTTCTTAAAAGGACTATTAGAAATGTATTTTAAAGACCCCAGGGGCGTGTTTAGTGGGTTGTACCTGGCCAGGAACTGGGATCTAAAGCTCTAGTCAATGCTAGTCTTGGGAATCCCTACCAGGTATCAGGGATCTTTGGACACTTGAGCCTAGGAGTTTGAGTCCAGGCTGGGTAACAGAGCAAGACCCTAAAAAAAAAGTCAGTAGTGCCACAATTGAGAAAAATTGCTCACAGAACATTATGCCATGAACTTGGCAAAAAGAAGTCAAATAAAGAGCGAGGTAGATTTCAATACAATAACAGTTAGAGACTTCAACACCACACTCTCAGCATTAAAAAGAGCTAGACAGAAAATCAACAAAGAAACACTGGATTTAAACTGCACATTAGACCAAATGGACCTATCAGACATTTACAGAATATTTCATCCAATAGTTGCAGAGTACACATTCTCCTCATCAGCAAATGGAACATTCTTCAAAATAGACCATATGCATATGTTAGGATATAAAACAATTCTTTACAAATTTTTAAAAATTCAAATCATATCAAGTTATCTTCTCAGACCACAAGGAAATAAAACTAGATATCAATAACAAGGAACTCTGGAAACTCTCCCAATACATGGAAATAAAAAAACATGCTCCTGAACAACCATCTAGTCAATGAAGAAATTAAGAAGGAAGACAAAAAATTTCTTGAAACAAATGAAAATGGAAACACAAAATGACAAAACCTATTGGATACAGAAAAACAGTGCTAAGAGGAAAATTTAATGCCTATATCAAAAAAGTAGAAAAATTTCAAATAAATAATCTAATGATGTACCTTAAGGAACTAGAAAAGCAATTATAAACTAAATCCAAAATTAACAGAAGGAACGAAATAATAAAGATCAGAGCAGAACTAAATGGTGACTAAAAAAACAATACAAAGAGCCAAGTGCAGTGACTCATGCTTGTAATTCCAGCACTTTGGGAGGGCAAGGTGGGAGGACTGCTGGAGACCAGGAGTTCAAGACCAGCCTGGGCAATATTGCAAGACCCTGTCTCTACAAAAATATAATTTAAAAATTAGCTGGGCATGGTGATGAATGCCTATAGTCCAAGCTACTCAGGAGGCTGAGGTGGGATGATCCTTGAGCCTGGGAGGTCAAGGTTGTAATGAGCTATGTTAGCACCACAGCACTCCAGCCTAGGCAACACAGTGAGACTTTGTCTCAATAAAAAAAATAAAAGGGAAAAAAAAAACAAACAATAGAAAGGATCAATGAAATGAAAAGTTGGTTTTCTGAAAATATAAACAAAATCAACAAACCATCACCTAGACTAATCAAGAAAAAAAGAGAGAAGACCCAAATAAATAAAATCAGAAATGAAAAAGGAGACATAACAACTGAAACCACAGAAAAACTGGAAAACCTAGAGGAAATGGATAAATTCTTGGACACAACCTACCAAGATTGAGCCACGAAGAAATAGAAAACCTGAATAGACCAATAATGAGTAATGAGATTGAATCATTAATAAAAAGTCTCCAAAAAAAGAAAAATTCAGGATTAGATGGCTTTACTGTTGAATTCTACCAAGCCTATGAAGAAGAACTAAAATCAATTCCTCTCAAACTATTCCAAAATACTGAAGAGAAGGGAATTCTTCCTAATTCATTTTACAAGGTCTGCATAACCCTGATACCAAAACCAAACAAGGATACAACAAAAAAAGAAAATTACAGTCTAATATCCCTAATGAGCATAGACGCAAAAATCCTTAACAAAATAGTAGCCAGTGGAATCCAATAGTGCATCAAAACGATCATTCACCATGATTAAGTGGGATTTATCCCATGGATGCAAGGATGGGTCAACATATGCAAATCTATAGATATGACAAATCACATCAACAGAATGAAGGACAAAAAACCATATGATCATCTCAATAGATGCAAAAGCATTTGATAAAATTTAAAACATCCTTCATGATAAAAACTCTCAACAAATTAGGCATAGAAGGAGCATATCTCAACATAATAAAGGCCATATAGACAAACCTACAGCTTACCTCATACTGAACGGGGCAAAGCTGAAAACATTCCCTCTAAGAACTGTAAGAGGGAAGTTACAGTTCCCTCTTACAGGGATGCTCACTTTTATCACTCTTATTAAATATAGTACTGCAAATCCTAACCAGAGCAATCAGGCAAGAGAAAGAAATAAAAGGCATTCAAATTGGAAAAGATGGAGTCAAACTATCCCTCTTTTCAGACAACATTATTGTATATATAGAAAAACTAAAGACTCCACCTAAAACTCTTAGAACTGATAAATGAATTCAGTTAAGTTGCCACATACAAAAATCAGTAGTATTTCTATAAACCAGTAACAAACTAGCTGAAAAGGAAATCAAGAAAGTAATGCTATTTATAATAGCTACAAAAGAAAAAAAATCTAGGAATAAATTTAACCAACGAGGTAAATATCTCTACAAGGAAAACTATGAAACACTGATGAAGGAAATTGAAGAGGACACAAACAAATGGAAACACATCCCATGTTCAGGAACAGAAGAATTAATATTGTTAAAATGACCATACTACCCAAAAAAATCTACAGATTCAATGCAATCTCCATCAAAATACCAATGACATTCTTCACAGAAATAGGAAAAAATACTCCTAAAATCCATATGGAACCACAAAATATCCTGAATAGCCAAAGCAATCCTGAGCAAAAAGAACAAAGCTTAAGGTATTATACTACTTGACTGCAAAATATACTACTAAGCTATAGTAACCAAACCAGCCCGGTATTGGTATAATAATAGACACAAAGACCAATGGAACAGAATTAGAGAACCCCAAAATAAATTCATGTATTTACAACCAACTGATTTTTGACAAAGGCACCACAAACACACACTGGGGAAAGGACACCCTCTTCAATAAATGATGCTGGGAAAATTGCATATCAATATGCAAAAGAATGAAACTAGAACCCCTATCTCTCACCATACTAAAAAATCAACTCAAAATGGATTAAAGACTTAAGACTCAAAACTGTAAAACTAATAGAAGAAAACAGAGGGGGAAATATTTTAGAACAGTGATCTAGGCTAAGATTTTATGGCTACAACTTCAAAAGCGCAGAAAAAAAAAATATGCAAATGGGATTATATTCAACTAAAAAGCTTCTGTAGAAGGAGACAATCCACAAAGGAAACAATCCACAAGGTGAAGAGACGACCTGTAGAACAGGAGAAAATATTTGCAACTATTCATCCAACATGGGACCAATATCTGGAATATACAAGGAATGCAAACAACTCAACAGCATAAAAACAAATAATCCCATTGAAAAGCAAGCAAAGGACCTGAATAACACTTATAAAAAGAAGACATACAAATGGCCAAGAGGTATATGAAAAAAATGCTCAACATCACTAATTATCAGGTAAACGCAAATCAAAATCACAATAAGATATCACCTCATTAGGACAGCTATTATCAAGAAGACAAAAAATAACATGCTGCCGAGGATGCAGAGAAAAGCAAACTTATATTCCCACTGTTGGTGGGAATGTAAATTACTACAGCCACTATGAAAACCAATATGAAGGTTTCTCAAAAAACTAAAAATAGAACTAACATATGACCCAGCAATTCCACAACTGGGTATATATCGAAAGGAAAGGAAATCAGTATATCAATGGAATACCTGCACCCTCATGTTTATTGTAGAACTATTCACAGTAACCAAGATAGGGAATCAACCCAAATGTCTTATCAATGAATGAATCAACCTAAGTGTCTTATCAATGAATGAATGGACATACAAAATGGAATACTATTCAGCCAAAAGAAAGAATGAAATCCTGTTATTTGCAACAACATGGATGGAACTGAAGGTCATTATGTTAAGTGAAATAAGCCAGGCACAAAAAGACATGTTCTCATGCATATGTTGAAGCTAAAAAAGTTGATTTCATGGAGGTAGAGAGTAGAATGATAATTACCAGAGGCTGGGAAGGAAGCAGGAAGGAGGGATGAAGAGAGCTTGGTTAATGAATACAAACATACAGTTAGACAGAAAGAATTAGTTCTAGGGGGATGGAGCCAGCCTGTACTGGAGACAGGCCTCACCACTCCCTCAAAAAAAAAAAAAAAAAAAAAAGAAAGCATAAGTTCTAGTGTTTGACAGCGCAGTAGGGGGACTATAGTTAATAATAATTCATCATAAATTCTAAAATAGCTAGAAAAGAAGATTTGAAATGTTCCCAATATAAAGAAATGATAAATGTTTGAGGTAATGGATATCCTCAGTACCCTGATTTTGATCATTACACATTGTATGCAGGTATCAAAATATCACATGTATCCCATAAATATGTACACATATTATGTATTAATAAAATTTTTTTAAAGAAAGAAAGATATGTATTTTAAGTACCTGATAAGTAGCTGCATCTAGATTTGACAGTGCCACATAGAGTAAATTGTTCTGAAGAGTATATATCCCTGATGGAATAGCAAGTTTAAGTGTTTCCATAGGTTTGTTAAGAATCTCATCATGCAGTATCCGATTCAGTGCTCTTAGACTACATTCTAGGAAAAAACATTAAATGGGAAAAATCAGTAATTAAGTAACTTTGAATAAGTTGCATATCCTCTCTCTCAAGGATTCAGTTTTCTCACCTGTGTAAAAAGGAAACTGAGCTACATGGTAAATATGTTTAGGTCTAAAATATATCTTTATGGTGCTAATTTTTCTAATGCTAAATATTGTAAGATAGCATATTAAGAAGAGCATTATCCCCATATTCTTTCATTCTTATATATAATCAAATTGATTATATGCATATATCTACATATATACACACTCATATGTATACATATTTATGATAACCAAAAGCTCAAAGTATTATTTTATCAACCAGATATTCTTACTTTATTGTAACATTATAAAAACTTGTATTTTATGTATTCCATATATCATCATCCATTCATACCACTTAATAATTGTGAGATTTTAATATAAAAGTAGGTAAATCAATTAGGGAGTGGGTTTGGTTGGTTAGTTAATTCCAACTAACACTAACTCAACCCCACAGGGACTTGTCTCACATATCATGAGTCCAGATCTAAAACTTCTACAACGGCTCTCAGATCCAGGTTTTCTGTCTATAGGCATATTTTGTTTAATCATGCTTTACTTTCTTGTGCTTTGCAGGTATTGCGTTTTTTACAAATTGAAAATTTGTGGCAACCCTGCATTGAGCAAGCTGCAGAAGGTGTCCACAGTGTCTAGCTGCGAAAAGAAGGTCAAAGTCCTTTGGCGCAAAGGATTCTGAGAGGAGTAGGGAGGTGGATCCTGGAAGCAAATAAACCCACTCTTAAAAATGACTGTCACTGACTTGAAAACAAACCATGTTAGCTCTGGCACAGGCTGCCTACCAGTAGTCTGGAAGAAGGCTTGTTCTTCTTCTACTTCTCCCACCCTGAGACCTCAGGGATAAGGGGAACCCAAAGCGGTCCCCCTTCCTGGTTGCATGGATCCTGAACACTACCTTTTAAAGGCCTTCCAGTATATTTGTTGGAAATTTTCCAACCACTGCAGCCCACTCTGGTGATGGAAAGGCTGAAATTAATATTTTAGGTTCAGTTGCATCATCAAATAGTAGAGCAGAATTTATCTCTTTCCTGTTAACACAGTGCTGCCATAAATTAAGCCTATGTCTCTTTATATTGCAAATGGTTAAGAGTTTGCCCAAGAGAAACATATTTAGAAAAAAGAGAGAACAGAAAAATAAAATTAAATAACTGTGTTAGAGCAGAATAACTGATTTTAAAATTTTCTGCAATATGATCTTGAGAAAATTCTTAGATTATAAAATATATATTAGATAATAATGAATGTCTGAGTTTTTTGAAACCAAAATGTACCTGATATATTCCTGAATAATAACAGGCACTATTCTAAGATTCTTTCATATACAATACTGTATATATATTGGCTTTGTACCTTCATACTTTTTATCTACTGTCTATATGATCATCCTAACACGATCACCAAAGGACTGCTGCACCTCTGGTTCTTGTTTCGGGCAGCAAGGAAGAAGAGGAAACTGGCAGTTATCTTCTTGGTTCTTGTCGAACAGGACTGTGTTGCACAGCTACCCCTAGCTACAAGAAAGCTGGGTCTTTTCCTGTATTTCCTCCATATTAGAGACAGGAAAGGGAGAAAAGGATTAGAAATGGATTTTGAGCTAGCCAAGCTATAGTATCATCAGTCACAAAAAATGTCCAAAGAATTTTAAGGGACATATAAACCCCTTAAGAAAGAAATTCCAAGGAACCCTACCACTTTACCAACAATGACGCTTTGTTGATAATTTTCTCTCCCGAAATAAAATGAGAAAACTTTGATTATGAAAAGTCTTTTGAAATGAAAAAAACTTTAAAGATTGCTACCTGATACCATCTCCCATTCCAAAATAATTGTCAAAAAATTGTTAACTAAAAGTTACCAAAGATTTTTTCTTAGTTTTACTAGGAAAAAAAATCTCAAATATTGACACATTTTTAAATTTTTAAATTAAAATTTTAAATAATGACTGCTACCACATATTTTTCTCAATTGCACTTTAGGGAAGGTCTGCTTCACATTCCTGCCAATTCCTGGTATTGTTAAGACTTTTTATTTTTGCCAGTCTGAGGGCAATTTGTGTCTCTTGGTTTTAATGGATTTCCCTGATTGCCAGTGAGGTTGAGCATCTTATATATTTATTGGCCATTCAGGTTTCCTCTTCCATGAATTGCCTATTTATATCCTTTGTCTCCTTTTCTACTGAGTTGCCGTCTTTTTCTTATTGAGTTTTAGAAATTCTTTGTAATTCTAGATATTAAATATTGGTGGTTCCATGTGATATAAATCTTCTCAATCTGTGGCTTGTCTTCTCACTTGGTTTGATTTATAGATTTTTCTCATTTTGATGTACCCCAAATTATCTATTTTTTTCTTTATGGCCTTATTTGTGCCTCTTTTGTTGTTGTTGTTATAGTCCATCTGCCTGCCTGCCTGCTTTCCCTCCTTCCTTCCTTCTTTCCTTCCTTTTTTCCTTTATTTATTTTAGGAGACAGAGTCTTTCCCTGTCACCCAGGCTGGAACTCCTGGGCTCAAGTGATCCTCCCACCTCAGCCTCCTGATCTGGCTTTATTAGACTGCAAAGCCTTCCAATGGTAATAGTCCCCTAGACCTCTGGGTGGTAAACAAAATCTTAGCTGGGGTGTTGTGCTCACTTGGATGACATCCTGCTCGAGTCAATGTGCAGTTACTATCCTGGTAGGATCCAGGCTTCACCCCAGTCCCTTTTCCTCCTGGGTACATGAAGGGGCACAGCACAGGGCTCTGGAATTCACTACTGACTGCCTAGAAGCCTTTCACTAAGCGCTAACCTCTGACCAAACACTTAATATTTGTTCTGGGCTACTGAGTTTGCAACACACTTGACATTTATTGTTTATTCTCATACCCATCCCATGAGACAGGTAGGACTTTCCATTTTACAGATGTGAAAACCAATGAGACTCAATAACCTGCCCAAGGACAGGGACTTGATAACCGACAGAACCCAAGACTTCTGACTCCAAATCCTAGACTCCCCCTACCACACCTCTGTCTTCCAATTTCATAGCAGTGGACTGTCTGGGAGACTTGGCATAGCTTTCTCTAAGAACTGGCTCTTAACACAAACTTCTGGCCATTATCTGACTGAATGTCATACACAAGTCCAGTAAGAACTTGTGCTAAAAGGCTTTTGCCTAAACCTGGTTACCAGCTTGTGCCTCATGAATTTCTATATCCCTAAAGACAAGATCCCAGGGGCCCTGGCAAATTCTCCAGGTGCCTGATCCCCTTCTTCAGCCTTACCCACACCCTCAGTCTTCCTGTCAGAGATCCAGGCAGCTCAGGGCCACCCAGAGGCCTGGCTCCCAGTTGTTCACTTGAGTGTGTTCAGCACCCCAAACACCTGTGAGAAACACTCTCTGTTCAGGATGCGTCCCATAGTGCAGGGTGAGGTAGAAGGTCTGCCTCCCACTGTACTGCTAGATATGCATGAACAGCTCCTGGGGCTGTTCCTCGGTTTTGTCAGGGACATCGCATCTGCCACAGGACAGTATTTGTCCAACCGCCAGCCCCAGAAGGTTAGTTGAGCCACCTGCAGCATGGTGCCAGACTTGTTCACATACAGGAGTCCCACCAGTCTCCAGAAGAAATAGCTCATCCAGCAGAGCATAGCCAGGGTGAAGCCAGCTATCCTGCTCACAAAGCACGGGGAGTCGAGAGTCATGAGGCCCTGGGAGCACCAGTAGAAACCTGGTGGCAAGGCCACCACTGTCAGGGCAATCTGTGCCACCTTCAGCTAAAAGATGTACCCAAAGACTCTGATGGCATCAAAACCGTAAACCATCTGGAATTTTTCAATCTCTGTCCCTGGTGATTTCTCCTTTGAGGTGGGTGATGTGCTCCCAACCCACCTCATAGGATTCTTCCACCATTGCAGCACCACAGCCCACGGATCGGCCTTCCCCCATGCAGCTGGCCCCTACAACCTCAGCACAGCTCAGAGGAGAGCAGCCATGGCTCTGTTGCCTATTGCCAGAAGTCTTATTTGTGTCTTTTATATCTTATTTGAAATCATTCATAGCACCAGGGTCATAAAGTTTTACTTTTTAAATGTCAATTTTTAATCTGCCTGGAATTTATTTTTGTGTATGGTATATCTATTTGTGCTTTGATTCACTGAACATTGGTTTTGCTGCATCTCTCTACAATGCAACTATTTGTGTCAAAGATATCTTTAGCTCCACAATGTTAAACACAGTGGATACTTCTCTCGTCCACACTTTAAAAGCAAAAACACTACTTTCTCAGTTTTCCTATTATTGTCATGGTTTTCTTTCTATCTTGCTGGTGACTCCTTCCCAGTCTTCTTTTGCTGATTCCTCCTTCTGAATCTGACCTCTAAATATTGGGAATGTGACAGAGCTCAGTCTGACCTTCTTTTCTAATACATACTAGGTTATCTCATCCAATGCTTAACTTTAAAATGACAAATCTTTGAGTTCCATATTCATAGACTCTACTATTTGACATCTCAATTGGGATGTTTTATATGTGTCTCAAATTTAATAAGGTCCAAAGCGAAGCCTTAATTTTCCCCTGAATCTATCTTTCCTGTATCATTCATTGCAGTACCCATTCACCCAGTAATTTAATCTAAAAATCCAGGAGTTATTCCTCAAACTGGATTCCTCCTTTTTCCTGACCTTCACAGATCCAATCTATTAGCAAGTAATGTCAGATGTAGTTCAAAAGAAAACATACAAATAGCCAGTAAACTCATGAAAAGTTATTATCACTAGTCATAGAGAAACACAAGTCAAAACCACAATGAGACACTACTTTACGCCTGCTAGAATGGCTATAATTTTTTTTAAAAAATGGAAAATAACTGTTGGTGAGGAATGAGAAATTATAACATTTGTACATTGTTGGCAAGAATGTAAAACGGTCCAGTTGCTGTGGGAAACAGTTTGATGGTTCCACAGAAAGTTAAACATAGAATTACCATGTGATCCAGCAATTCCACACCTATATATACCCAAAAGAAATGAAAGTAGGGACTCAACAGATACTTATACATCTATTTCAGCATTACTCATTATTCATGCCAGCATTATTCACAATAGCCAAAAGGTGGAAACAACCCAGTGTCCAACTACATATGAATGGACAAACAAAATGTGGTATATCCATACAATGGAATACTATTCAGCCATAAAAAAGAATAAAGTTCTGATACATGTTACAACATGGGTTGAAAACATTATGCTAAATGAAATAAGCCAGACCTAAAAGGACAAACATATGATTCTACCTATACAAAATATTTGGAATAGGTAAATTCATAGAGACAGAAAGTAAATTACAGGTTATTGGGAACTGAGGGTAAGAGAGGATGAAAAGTTATTACTGAATAGTTACAGAGTTTTTGTTTAGGGTGATGAAAATGTTTTGGAAATAGTGATGACAGTTGTGCAACATTGTGAATATAATTAATGTCAATGAATTATACACTAATAATGGTGAAAACGGCAAATTTTATGTTACATATATACATTTTACCACAACTTAAAAAGTTTAAAAATGGAATACACCAAACCATCATTAAATTGTACACTTTAAATGTGTGAATTGTATGGTTTGTGAATTATATCTCAATGAAACTATTTTAAAAAACTATATAAAAGTAGTCACTACTGGACTAATCAATGAAGCAAATAAAGTAAAAAGCCTTTACTTTAGCAAAGAATTATTGTTTCCTTCTAAAGTTCTAACAGTCACATAATTATAAAATTTACTCTTATTCTCGAATTATTATAAATGCAAGAAACTATGTTTCATATTTACTGAATTAACCAAAAGACATGAATCATGATACAGATTAAGATAAAATGCCTTTATTACTAGATTTAAAACTGTCTTAATAAATTTTTTATAATATCAAAATGTTCTTAATACTAGAGCATTAGATAATGCAAGAGTTCAAATGTGTAGTTATCAATATACATTTACATATATATGTAAACTAAATAAACTGCACTGATTAAAAACAAAAAACCTAGATACCTACTGCTATCTTTGTAGACTAACAAAATACAGGCCGTTATCTTCAAAAGTTCAGCAACAACCACTGCTGTAGAAGATAGATAACGAGGTCCCTCCTCTTTTAAAGTCCTAGAATAACGCATCGTTAGAACCAAACTGGTAGTCTGAAAGACCAAAATTCCCAAGGAAAGGTATTTTAGGTTGGCAGACATTGTTTTATCTTCATTGGCCTGAAAAACAAAATAAACAGGGCAAATAAATAAAATTACAGCACAAAGAAATTATTAATACTATATAAAAACCACCAACTTCCAGACAAGATGGGGTAAGCACATTCCACCCAATTTTTCCTGCTAATTACAACCAAAAACCTTGTACCAAAGACAAAAAGCGACTACCAGAACACTGAAATGTAAAGAAAATAAGGCAAACTGGCTGAGACTTCAGGTCTTGAGCAATGACCAGGTAATGAATTCCCTGAAGATTTTTTGCCACCATGGGTGCTACAACAACTCACAACCTGGAACTGTCGAGAGGCATAGAACAACAACAGCAACAAAAAAATCCCCAAGGAAAAAAAACTCTCTCTAACCAAAGGACTGGGAAGATAGCAGTCCTGCAGGATGAAATCCTTTCAGTTGGATACTGTGTAAGCTATGGGATGAAGCCTTGGTGACCATCCTTGCACCAAAATGAGAGTAGAGAAGATGGTCCTCCCTCCCCCCACTAGGAGTTGCAGCCACAAGAACTATGGGGTGAAACCTGTTGACCATTACTGTCCTATACAAGGTGAATGTCGGCAAAGAGGCATTACCTTTCCTCCCTCCCCAGTGGCTGTCTATTAACGTAGATGATTTAAGAAGGAACCAGAGTCTCCTAATAGAATACTCAAAATGTCCAGGATACAATCCAAAATGAATATACTCATCATACCCAAAAACCAGAAAAAAATCTCAACTTGGATGAGTAAGAACAATCAATAGACAACAATGCAGAAATGACACAGATGTTGGAATCAGAAGAATTTCAAAGAAGCTATCTTAGAAATGCAGCAATAGGTTGGGTGCAGTGGCTCACATCTGTAATCCTAGCACTCTGGGAGGCCAAGGCAGGAGGATCACTTGAGGTCAGGAGATCGAGATCAGCCTGAACAAGAACAAGACCCCGTCTCTACAACAAACAGAAAAATTTAGCTGGGCATGGTGGCTTGTGCCTATAGTCCCAGCTACTCGGGAGGCTGAGGCAGGAGGATCACTTGAGCCCAGGAACAGGTGGTTGCAGTGAGCTGTGATCACAGCACCTCACTCTATCCCAGGCAACAAAGCAAGATTCTGTCTCAAAAAAAAAAAAAAAATTAAAAGCATACACCAAAGATTTTAGTTTAAAGCAAGCCCTACTTTAAATCCATTAGGCTGCAATGGTACCTGCTTTGTACGCACCAACTGTCATAATCATTATTTAAAATAAGAATTTAAATATGCAAATAAGCAATAAGATCTCATTGTATGAAAATGATACATTTCTGGGAGGAAAGATGCTGAGACTGTGGGGGCTCTTTAGAAACTATTTACTAATTCCTCTACTTTTGTAAATTACAGAAAGACTACAAGCAGTTTACAGCATGGTTTTATTTTGCCTG